ACTCCTCGTCCACCACTGACTGCACTCGTATCCACCCAACCCTCACATTCAACGGTAAGACCTTGTCGTCACCAGATTTAGGCCTACACTACCGCTGAAAAGTCTGTCACCCGATTCGGGCTCACCCACACACACCCTCACCCCCTCGAATTTGGCGTCGGACCCCACCGTTGACGACCATTCCCACTGTCAACGCCCCCACCTTCACCCGAGGGCTCCAACCAAAACCAATAACCCTCACAAAATAATTAAAAATTTCTCACTTCTCATCCATTATGAAATTTTTATCATTTGTAATACAATTTTAAAATTCAATATTTTAGTATCATATCCAAATAAAACTAATTACTATACTAATTTAAAATAATAATTATTTTAATCGCAATCAGACAAAAACATTCAAATACAAAAACATTGACAAAAACTAGTCAAATAGTCGACTGAGTCATAAGACAGATACAAACATCTTTACTTTCCGCGTACTATCAATAATATACAAATATAACTAAAGAAACGGCATTTAAATAAATTTTGATAGACTATAAGGAACATAATAACGATTTGTATTTGCTAAAATACCGTGTCACTGATCATGCTTTGTAATAACACCTAACAAATCTAACGATATAACTAACAGTCTAAAGATGTGACAATGATCATTTATTTGTATTGACAACATTTTGTCAAATGGGATTTAATAAAATTTTAGAGTTTAAAATTTTTAGTATAGAGTTTAGTATATATCGTGTGTCACACACTTTAGTGATGTATTGAATTATTTTCATGTATTAAAAACCAAGTGCTGTAGTAATAAATAGCATTGAAATTATCCGCTATTAATAACTTTCTTTAATTTGTGCTCATAATAAACCGTTGATAATTTTTTGGCCACAAACCAAGTATTACAAGTTTGGCTCAAGATTTGTGGGCCAATACTTTTTATATATTGTAAATCCGTGTAATAATCCCTCAGATTTAGTTATATATATATCGTCTCTGACATCGATATTTACTGGCAATTAAAATAAGCACTTCTTGACAATAAGTTATTCTATAGCCTATTGATAACATTCTTATTGTTTACCATCAAAACTCAAATTCAAAGGAAAAATATTATTTTATAAACTAACGTAATGTCATTTTTATCAAATCAATGTCTTCACATTTTGTGTACAAAAAACATCAATTTAAGTGCTTAATTGAATTACAAATAAGATTTATATGAATAGCATTATTAGGGTTTATGCCTTTGAAGTCAAAAAACCAAACTCTTATCTCAACTCAACAATAATATCAATTACAATATAATGAATGTGAACGATATGCTGGTCTATAGGATATGTGTGTTTCAAGTCCTCACTATTGAGTTCTGCGAAACAGAATCTATTCTTCTGCTTATATTCATCACAAATCCTAGTCTTCAGTCATTACTTGTATCTAAAAACACGATAACAGCATAATCTGGTGAACGGCACTCATATTATCGTTTCGATCGACACTAACTTTTGGCTTTATTTATTATTTAATATAGTTTATTGCTTATAAAATTATATAATGATGTTAAATCATGATAAATTATATTTATAATATTTTAAATATAATTATATTTTACATAATTCACAATAATAACATTACTTGTACAGTACAAGTTTTACTGTAGCAACTTAAATAGAATAGGAACTCAAAACATTTTAGCTTTAAGTATGAATTATAAAATTTATTGTTTATAATATTTGATTTAATTTAAATTATTAAAATTAACATGTGTTTATTTGGAGAGTATTAGCTAACTTTAATTATACCTCAGGGTATAATAAAGATATAATAAAGAATTATTAGAAATTACCAGAATTGCCAGAATAAGCACATTTTTGGTTTATTTCAAAACTTTTTATATGAAATCCTTTTCTGTCTGAATTGTGAGAAACTACAGTATTATACACTTCATTACTCACAAACAGTTTTGCTATTACTTTGACTCAAAGTCTTTGAGCATTAGATTTAAATATTGATCGAAAGCGAAAGTCAACTATCAATTGTGTTTGATTTATACGGGATTTGTGTTGTTATATATTTTCTACGATTAATGAAGAGATGATTTTATATCTCAAATCCTTATAATACATAGAAATACATACATACATCTTTATAACTCTGATAATACAAAATTAATTTGACATTTATTCATATGTTAATTTACTTTACGGTAAATTTAATTCAATGATGAGTTTTAAAAGTTATTTAAAAGTTTAAAACATTAAATATTTCAATTTACTTTAAATTACTCAATATTTTCAAATAAGTCAAAATAAATGTAAATATAATTTAAAATTGTGAAAAAGTTAAAATATTTGTAATATATTTGGTATGCAATTGAGGGGACATTCATTTCAAGGATGTGATCGATAGTGTTTTGGCCATAGTTTCTCATATTAACAGTTATCACATGTATTCAAGGCTTTTAAATAACTTTTACAAAGTAAATTTTCCGACTATTTAAAAAAATATGTTTAAAATAATCAATATAATTTGTCATAATGAGCTGCTTAATTTCATTATAATTATAATTCAATATTCAATCACTATAATTATATTAAATAAAATTAAATATATTAAAATATGTCAATAAATGGACACAATTTTAGGAATTTTAATGAGATTTCTTAAGAAATATAATTTGAAGACTTTTAGAGAGATGTCGTCTTGAGATTCACTTTTAATATTAGACGAGAAGTAAGGATAAGAGAGTTCTCCTTGAAGTTTGTACTATAGTTGTATAGTTTAGCGATACTGTTATGTGACAAACATATTAATTGACAGTAACTTAATTTTATCCAATTATTTGGACTTATTTTTCGAGTCTAACGTATAATCAGTTTCTGGCAAAAGGAAAGACCAAAAAGTGTTAATAAACTGTTTATTTTAGTCAACGCTTTATATTTAATAAATTGTTTTTAACTCGAAATGTTTGTTACAATGAATACAACAAAATTGCAATCATTTTCTCATATAATTAAAGCGAATTGTTTCCGAAGAAAGAGATTTGAATTGAATTCATTGATCCGTCACTTAAGTCAAAGTTCTGCTGATAAGTCGCCAAAGAAGACATGTCTTTACGACTTTCATGTGGAAAAAGGGGGAAAAATTGTCAATTTTGCCGGTTTTCAAATGCCTGTCCTCTACAATGACTTATCCATAAACGACTCTCATATCCATACGAGACAGTCGTCGAGTCTCTTCGATGTCTCCCATATGTTGCAAATGCAGGTCAGAGGCAAAGATCGCATTGAATTCATGGAAAGCCTAACCGTCGCTGACATCCAAGGATTAGCCGAAAATACCGGAACTCTTACTCTCTATACTAATGAAAACGGAGGTATTATTGATGATCTGATTGTCACCAAAACAGACAAAGATTTTCTGTACGTCGTCTCAAATGCCGGACGTATTGACGAAGACTTAAAACATGTCACAACTCATTGCCAAACATTCAAAGGCAAAGGCAAAGATGTATCAATAGAGATATTGGCCCGTGGTCTTTTGGCACTACAGGGCCCACAATCGGCCAAATGCTTGCAATCGTTAGTTAGCGTTGAGTTATCAAAATTGAATTTCATGTCATCAGTGGTGACGAGTGTTTGCGGTGTCGATGACTGTCGGATCACACGATGCGGTTATACAGGAGAGGATGGCTTTGAGATATCGGTTCCCACCGAAAAAGCTGTTCTCGTGGCCAACACTTTGCTCACATCGTCTAAGGGTGTGATCCGATTGGCGGGTTTGGGCGCGAGAGACACACTTAGACTCGAAGCCGGTCTTTGTCTTTATGGTAACGATATTAACGAGAAGACGGGTCCGATCGCAGCCTCCCTTACGTGGACTATAGCTAAAAGACGTCGACAAACGGCTGACTTCATTGGCTCTCAAATTATTTTAAAGCAACTTAAAGATAAGCCTAAAGAGCGAAGAGTGGGATTGCATGGACTGACATCAGGTCCGCCCGCGAGAGCGCACTCTTCAGTATTAGACGCCAATACAAAGGAACCGATCGGTGAAGTGACGAGTGGTTGTCCATCGCCTTCACTCAAGAAGAATATAGCGATGGCTTACTTACCGATGTCTCACAAAATTGGTTCAAAAGTAATTTGTGACATAAGAGGCAAACACTTTGAGTACGAAATCGTAAAAATGCCTTTCGTTTCGACGAACTATTATTTTAATAAATAAATAAATTTTCAAAATAAAACAATTGAGTATTACTTGTAATAATTGTATAAAAAGATGATTAATTATCGCAATTCGTATATAGATATAATTAATTGCATCAAAATATACAAAAACTTTTTTATTCATATAATTAATGATAGATTATATAATAATGATTTGATTGATGCGATTAATGGCACTCTTTTTTCTTATTATAATATATATAAAAACAATAAAATTTTGCAAAAAGCGTATGAATCAAATAATAACAGTATAATTATTATAATACTTGTAATACATGGAGAATACAAATAAATTAATGATGTAATAAATATGATTCCCAATCCTTTAATTTATTGAATGAATAATTTATAAATCAATTTTTGTGTTGTTATCAAGTAATGACAACTCCCTTATGAACACAGGGGCCGTTAGTCGCTTCCTCCAGAAGTGCTGGCCATAGATAAGTCTGCAGTGAATTCAACATTAAATTGTTGTTCAATAAACACCACGAAGAAAAAACAAAATACAGTACAGTATACCGTCGAGTACTGTACGTAATAATGCAATAATACCTTAATTACATCCGAGTCCTGGTTTGAAGAGTGGAACTTAATGTGCATATCTTTCCTGAAGGTTCGGGTCTCGTATTCAATAACGAAGGGTGGGTTCTGTATGGAGAGTGCCCAGGCCAGTTTCACACAGTCGCCCACATATGTTACCAACACATCGCACGACTTCAAACATGGATAGTCGTAAAGTGTGGCCCAAATTTGAGTGCAAACCTCCTATGAATTAAATATCAGCTTTTTGTAATGAAAGTCAATGTATCCAACATTCAGTTCTCGCTCTCTCTCTCTCTCTCTCTCTCTTATCAGACG